TATCGCCACGATGCTGCGGGACGTCCAGTCCGAGGTGGCCACTCCGCTCACCAGTCAGCTGAGCGTGCGGCGCTACCTGGGAGCCATGTACAGGGGAAAGCTGCTGGGCAGGGTACCCGACTGGGAGCCCGACGAGGCTGTCTGCGACGCGCTGCTGCAGTGAGTGGCGGGTCGGCGGGCAGGTAGACGGTCTGGGAGAGAGGAGGGGAGGGTCGGTTGTGGGCTTGGGAAGTTGGGAAAGAGTTGTGAGGAGGAACAGCGCAAAGAACCCTATTCAACTTTTAACAACCGTTTAATGGGAGTTTAACGACAACGAATCGCAGTCTGGTAGGTACTAACGTTGCTTGCTTGCCCATTACTGAACTGATAACATTTTGAAAAAAAGTGGTAGTATTGATCCCTGCTGACTTTTCCTTCAGATGACCTTTCCTGACCTTGAGTGGCCCACCTTGATCCCCAGATGACCCGCACTGAACCCTACTGACCCGCCCTGTCCCGCGGTGACCCCTACTTAACTGACCCGTCGTGACCCCGCAGTGACCCCCCACTGACCTATCCTGACCCCGCAGTGACACGGTGCTGATCCACCTGAACTCCGGCGAGGACAAGGTCAACGTGCTCTGCTTCATGATCCGCAAACTGTTCGCCTACGTGCGCAAAGAGTGTGCTCAGGAGAGCGCCGACAACCCCATGCTATGGGTGAGTTAGGAAATCCGCGACTGACGCGTGCTCGTCCTCTGAAAGTTGGACTGGGTGGTAGGTCGTTAGTATGAATACAGGACATGCATTTATTGGTAACCCTGGTTGGTTTTCTTATTTGTAGGCTGTCTTGGTTCATGGTTGCATGTAAAAAACTTCGTTATTATCTCATGAACGTTGTCCAGCATGTGACCTGACGTGAGTTGCCACGGGGCTCAGGTTTTGTGCTCTGACCGGTGACACACTCTCCCGTACCACCACAGGAAGCGCAGCAGGGCAGCTACATCTACCAGCAGGTGATCAAGAACAAGGTGCAGATGTTCTGCAGCAACTTCCGACTGGTGATGGTGAAGCGCTACAACAAGAACCCCACCGAGTACAACATCACAGAGAGTGAGTGGACGTCGGCAATCGGAGTCCGGCACTTGAGAAGCCCATGGCTTTTATCGTTTAATTTGTTTGTGGTTCGGATATTGGATTCTCTAAATTGTCACATAAATTGGTGACCTTTTCAGTGTGTCTTTGTTTTGCATACAATCGTGAACCATTCTTTACCGACCGTTCGTTGTGGTCGTGCGCCGCGGGTGAGTAAGATGACAGAGTGCCATCCTTTTATCAGTGTCTCTGTCACCACAGTCATAGCACACTCAGCCTAACACACCTCCCCACCTGCCCGCTTCGTACAGCCCCGCCTACTCATTTGAACCCTCCATACCGACTCACTTAGGATTTTGACCGTCCCGCTCCCCCTCCCTGCAGTGGAGGTGGCCCACTGTTTCAAGCAGCTCAACCCGATCGGCGCCATGGTACGGTCATTTGTCAGCACTGGTAACATCCCAGCTCTGCCCAACATCATCTGCTCGGACAACGTGGGCCTCTCGGTCCCGGCGGAGAAGATCAGCTACACGCGCTACATGTCGCACTTCCGCACCATCCACCGTGGCTCGTTCTTCTCCACCATGCGCACCACAGCGGTGCGGCAGATGCTGCCAGAGGCCTGGGGTGAGAGACTGAGCGAGTCAATAAGGAGGAGCAGTGTCATGAAGCGAGATGCGATGCAGTTTTATATTTTTATTATTTACAGAGTGGGCTTTTTGAAATGCTTTCGATGTCATGGTTTTGACGTAGACATTTGATGGTGATATGCACAAATAAATAATAATTATTATTTTTCGTTCGAGAAATTATCATTTCTCAGTTTATTTTGGTAAACCAGAATAATTTTCCGGTTTCACGGCTAAATGTGACATTTTATATTCGATGACTCCCATCTGACCGCCACCCGCCGGTCTCCATCAGGTTTCATCTGCCCGGTACACACCCCTGACGGCGCGCCCTGCGGCCTGCTCAACCACCTGACCACCACGTGCCACGTGACGGCCGGCCAGCCGGACCGGGCCGCCATCACGGCCACCGTCACGGCGCTCGGCGTCACGCCCGTCACGCAGCCGCGGCCCGCCAAACAGGTGCGTCACGGTGAACACCAGGCTGTCACGGTAGTCATGGTACCGTTAGTCGTCATGGTAGACGCGACATGACACAACCAGGCCGTATGAACATCATTGCCTTGGAGATGAATGTTGACTAGGGGCGCGGTCTGACCTTTCCTTACCATGCTAACACTGACCCGCAATCATCGGATGTCCCTGTAGCTAACTTGTAAACCTGGGCCCAATCTTACCAAATGCCGTGAATGCGCATTCACGGCATTTGGTAACATTCAAAACTATTCAGCATTCATTTATTCATTCGTTTGGGCAACATTCATAATCATTCGCGTTATCAAATTCATTGGAAAAGATTAGCTGGATGTAAATAAAAAGGATATCATTGATATCAGTGCCGTAAACTCCGGCCAGTGCTGCAAAATCCTATCTACGGCATTGGTAAGATTTGGCCCAGGTGTATTACTTTTAAGTGTGCTCTGCTCTGACCAGCCCTGGCTACACTTTCAGTACCAATGAGCCATCAGCTACCTGACCCGGCGAATGCCCTTGTAGTTTTGTGAGCTACCCGGTGTGTTTCCGTCTACGGACGCGATCTTACTACCCTCGCCCTATGTCGGCAGTGTTACACGGTTCTACTGGACGGAGCCGTGATTGGGTACGTCAGCCACGCCGCCGCCCCGCGGCTCGTCAACAAACTGCGGCACATGAAGTGTCACGGAGAGGTGAGGATCGCCAATTACGCCGGCGGAGACATAGGCTATGCTTGGGTGTGGATTGATGTTAGATCTGAGCCCTATTGCAGCAGCTGCACTGGTGTGGGGTGTCGGTAACAAGTGTCGTGTATTGTGTTGGTCGATTCCTGCTAGCTTTATGTGCCTGAGAAGATTCTGGGGTAACCTGTAGGGCTCATGCTTCATAAGTTAGGATGTTAATTTGCCGGGCTATCAAGTTGTTCGTGTTTGATCTTTCCTAGTGTCTGATCCCTGATTTGGTTACCATATCTCTGCTCTGTCTAATCATCAGGCATATATTATGTTTAACACACCCGGCTGTCATTGAGTACCGTACCTGACATACTAACGTACCTCTTTTCCTCACCAGGTGTACCAGTACCTGGAGGTGGCGCTGATCCCGGCCCGCGGGCCCGGCGGACAGTACCCTGCACTGTACCTGTACTCGAGTGACGCGCGCCTGATGCGACCAGTACTGAACCTCGCGTGTCAGAAGGTGGAGTACATCGGTACGCTGGAACAGGTGTACATGAACGTGGCCGTCAACCTGCGAGAGGTGCCCACAGAGGTACGTGGAGCGCGCGCTGGTACCCGCGGCTGGGGTAGGAAGAGTTCCGTATGTAATGAGCCAGAGACATAACTGTTTTTTTTTTTATACAACCCTCCAAGCTGGTGCACATTTCAAAGTATGTTATGTATGACCTGCGGCGATGACTTCGCCAATCGTCTAAGGTTGTCTAGTGTGTACACTCTGTACGCCCTACGCAATACCTTGCTGACCTCCACGTTTAACCCCGTACTCTAACCTCCACTATCACCCATCCAGTCTCTGGCGCTGTACTCTCACCATGTGGCTGTCTGTGTATTGCGTGTGGTCTGACCCTCCTCTACCATCACCCCTGCAGTCTCTGGCGCTGTACTCTCACCATGCGGCTGTCTGTGTATTGCGCGTGGTCTGACCCTCCTCTACCATCACCGCTGCAGTCCCTGGCGCTGTACTCTCACGCGGAGCTGGCCGATACCTCGCTGCTCTCCAGTCTGGGACTGCTGGTGCCGCTCTCCGACCTGAACCAGTCGCCCCGAAACATGTACCAGTGCCAGATGAGTAAGCAGACGATGGGCACTCCGAGACACAACTGGCCGGCCTGCAGTGAGAACAAACTCTACCGGCTGCAGGTCCGTACGGGTGGGACACTTGCCGCTGGTGTCTGGATGTACTCTTTGGGGCAAAGCAATCTGTCTATCTTCGGACAAACTTATACGTAGTATGGTTAAATGCTGGCCGGGGGAATTTCCGTACGTATGTCTTCCATTCAAGTGCACATTTTTAAGTTGAATTATTTTAGATAAAATGCTGTTTTGGTCTGTTGGTAATTCGTTTCCGTGGACATGCTACTCGCTCACGCGCCTCCGACTCGCTACCATTCTCACCACACTGACATGTCTTGGCCACCCCGTCGGCCCCAGCCGTGACCCCGGACTACTGTGTCCCCAGACGCCGCACGCGCCGCTGTTTCGCCCCACCCACCACGACGCGCTGGCCATGGACGACTTTGGACAGGGCACAAACGCCATCGTGGCCGTCATCTCGTACACGGTGAGTGCAGGCATGTGGATCTCCATGTGGTGCAGCTGGGATGTTGCAGTGATTGGTTTCGGATGGTGCGGATAGTCAGTGGCTGGCGACACTGGCACATCGCAGTGAGCTTAGCTCTTAATAGTGCGTGTAAGTTCATATAGTTTTTGTCAGGCTAATATTGAGTTGAAGAGGAAATCTGCTAACAGGCCAGTGCAGGAAAGGAATCCCATTGTCCCATCCCATTGTATTGTGTCCCTTGCATACTGTCAGTCCTCTAACGTCCGTCCCGCGACTCTGTCCGGCAGGGTTACGACATGGAGGACGCCATGATTATCAACAAGCACGCGCAGGAGCGCGGCCTGGCCTGCGGCTTCATCTACAAGATGCGGGCGCTGGATCTGCGGGACCACAACCGACAGAACGCGCCCGTGAGTACAGCTGCGGCCACCGCCTCTGGCTCTGCTCTGCAGTACCTCTCCCGGACAGTCCGTACCTGACGCGAGTGGGGCTGGTTCATTCGGGTGAGCGCTGGTGATCTAAGTCGAACAATTTATTCACTTCAAAGACACAAGCATCTCCTATTGAAAACTCCTCTAGACTTGGTGCGTGGAGCTCTGTTCTTTTCAAATGACAATTAACTTTGCGATTGACTGGCCGCGCGGGCGGTGATTATTGACCAGATTTGCCAGTCACCGTTTATCAGCTAAATTAGTACGCGAGCCCGCAATCAAACCCCAGTGTTTACCACAGCAGATACGTTCGTTTATGCTCGACTATTTTATGGCGGTATTTGGGCTAGCGATTCTGGCACAGACCTCTGTCCGGTTACATATATGGTACATTCGGAGCTCATCTCGGTTTTCATCAGCTGAGGATTAATGCTTTTTGGATTCATTTCCTTTCTGTAGTTCATATCGACGGTTGATGCCTTTTTTAGATCGTTGATGACGCTCCTCTGACGTCATCAAGCGAACCCAGCCGAACTGAGTAAGCCTGTCTCTGGCAAGCGAAGGTGTTTATCCCACACCCTAGTTTAGCTCCCGAGAAGATTTTTTCGGGGAGATTGCTCATAGTTGAGCCCGGTCTGCCAGCTCGTTTGGCGCACATTCAGCGGGAGGCACGTCCGATCTGCGTCGGGTTGGCTGCGGGCTTTGATGTGGAGAGAGGGCTGGCTTTCACGCGTGTCGCACGGTTAGTAATGGTGTGTTTGTGTTCTGTTATTGTCACATATATTCGTAAGCGTCATCAAGAAGCCCCTCCCTTCAAATCCAACTTCATACACGGATGCATACATACACTGACTTGTAGAGGCGAAAACAACCACAATCACTGAGGTTATGACTGTTGGCAATGCATCACCACTGCGTGCAGTGTGACTGAATATTAGATCGGTGGTGCCCACTGCAAACCGCAGGTCAGCTGATATCGTCACTGGGCGCACCGCTATCACGTTTTTGTATCCGCCCCGCCACCCCGACCCGCCCCCCCCCCCCGCTGCACCACGTGGGGCGGCGGGGGTGGTCGGTGACACTAGTCGCCCAGTGTCGTTCTGGGTATACCGCATTATTCAGACCCCCTAGCGATATGATCCGTGCCCGCATTATTCAGAGTCAAACCCCCAGAGCGGCACGACCGGGCTGTGGCGTGGCTTACATCACCGCTTCACAGTAGTGACTTATGACTCTTACGAGTATGCCTCGGTTTCAGCTGTGGATTGTGTCTCACACAATGTGTGAGGAACGACTGTGACTGACATGTCATGTCAGTCACAGTCGTTCCTTTGCTGTGTGGATGGTATTCCGTGACAGCCGTCAGCCGTCACTGTCACGTGTTAATGCCAGTTTCGCTGTCACATTATGTCCGTCGCGCCTCTGGCCACCCCGTGGTTCGCTGTCCTGCTGTGGGGGCGGTGGTCGCCCGAGGTGATTCACACTCCTCTCCCACGCAGCCGCCGCCCACGGCGCCTGCCTTAGGCGGTCCCTTTGCTCGGTGTCTGTAGACTGTGAGTGTAGTAGACTGGTTGTCACTCCTGTCTTACACTCTCTGACCACGGCGATACATGTCACCGTTGGGTCCTTGTCGGCAGTTTTAGCAAGCTCGGGCTGCGGTCGTCCTTATGTCCCTCTGGGGCGATCTGTTCGTGTCACCGATGTGGCCTGAGAACACCCGCCCCGGCTGCTGCCATCACTGCCACAGTTAGCACTGTGCCGAGGCCGGGAGCGGTCCGTTGGGACGGCGCCGCGTTACAGAGCGGAGTGTCGCAGAAACAGAACTGCGTCTGGCTGTCGGGCATGTCTGCCTCGCGACAGCCGAGCTCGTGTTTGAGTCCGTACCACGACTGCCGGGCGCCGCAGCCGCGGAACTCGCCTGGAAGGAAGGAGTGAGGTAGCGGTTAGATCGTGTAGAGAAAGGCGGGAAATAAGGATGCGTCAGCAAGCAGCGTGACTTAGATCGACATGAGATAATGTCTTGTTTCGGGTCACAAATGGTGTCATATTTGCTATAACACACATACATTGGCAGCTGACCTCACATTGCCAGCTTCACCATAGGTTCGACCACAGCGACGTTGGCCAGCGCCCTGACTTCCATTCCTCCCCTCCCCCCCCCCCCCCTCCGTTTCATTCCCTGCCCCGGTCCAACCATTGATTTTCTCGAGTTCCCAACATTGATCCAACTATCCCCATCCCCCTTCCATGACCCACGGTCCTCCTCACCGCTGTAGAGGGACGATGTCTTGACACAAATGTGGTCTTCGGGACAGGTGACCACAAACAGGGACCAGGAGAGCGCCTCGTCGAACTCGGCGCAGCTGCGACCGGGCTGGTCAGAGACGAGGCCGCCGCAGCTGTAACACTGCATGCCGTCCACATCTGGTGGTCACAGGGGGAGGGGTCAGTAGTGAATACCGCCGGCGGGGGGGGGGGGGGCGGTGTCACAGGTGGGGAGTAGGTTACAAGAGTCAGCGTTCCACAGCGCCGCGGGTGTCACATGTCGAGGATATGGGGCTCACATAATGTCCGCATTCCACTCCACCTGCTGTGTGAGTCAGTTGTCAGCTCAGTAGAGATTTAGTTAAAACCGTTGCGGGCTGCTAGGTGGCCGTGGGATGTAGTGACTAATGCTCATACCACTGCATGGGACACCAGTTCCTATCCTCAATTTTTCCATGAATGTTTTGTGGTAGAAGTTCGTCGATGATACATGGTTTCCTCGTAGTCGGTGCGACCCAAGGCACAGTGCCCAGTGACCCCCCCCCCCCCAGTGTTCCGTTTTTCAGAATTTTGGGTGGAAAATCACACCTAATGGAGATAATATTTTCGTCCCAAAAATAAGAAAAAGTGACACTATGTCATCTTTAGAAAATGTTTCATGCATTCAAACAGCCAGGTTACATATCACTTGGCAGTCGATGCATCCACATACTTTTCTTTCAGTTCCTGTCAAAACCCTGACATGAAATCTTGCTTCATCAAATGGTGCAAAAGGGCGTTACACCCTTCTGCGAGAATACTTTTGGTATTTACTTCCTTCTTTCTCATCCTAGGAATTTCCTTTCTCCATCGCCACACCCAACCAAAATCCAATTTTAGAACACTGGACTTCCGCCACACTGGCCGGGCGGAAATGTTGTAAACGCTTTTGACGCGCATCCTGTGCGGCCGAGTTTGGAGTTTGGAGGCACGAGTTTGGAGCTTGGAGTGGCACCGCCTCCACTGCAGTCTCACTGCGTCGATTGATTTTTCAACTCCAGTGGTCTATGGTGCACATGCCCTGAAAAGCTCGCTCTGAGCTTGAGGGGCGCCAGTGTGAGATGCTCAATTGTGATGATGAGACCGGGATTGAGAACGAACAAGGGTAACCGTCCTCGGCTAACTATAGGATGACCTTTTCGACTCTGAGGAATGGCTCGCGTGCCCTCAGACGTGCGAGTAACGTCACGCTCCCGTCACTCGCGTGACCTCCCGCTGGGCGTCGGCGCTGCACCACGGAATGTGTCACGGTACCATCACGCGATGCCACGGTCTGACCACATCGTGAGTCTGCTGATGTATCCCGTGACATCTCAATGCGGCTGGTACTGAGAGGTTCGTCCGCCGCCCCCGCAGCGCCGTCTGCGGTGAATCCGGTGGCGAATCTCACGTTCCATGAGTGGCTGCTGATGTGCCGCAGATGGCGACATGGCGCCACGCTGTGTATATGTAAATATTTACCCGCCGGAGTCGTAACCAGCACGTAGGACGGCGGTTTTTAACACGGCGGGCGTCGCGCGTCGTTTCGGACTTCGTTTCTGCTCTGCGTCTATTTTCGTGACATCAGATCAGTCTGAAAATAAGCTTGTGCGACGCTGGCCTGACCTGACCTGACCTGCCTCTGTGCAACTTACAGTCATTTAACAGTGATGTTCTGTGACGCCATCCTTGTCACGCGACCCTGAAGCCGGCTATACCTCGACCCGCTGGCCTCTGGGATGTAGGCGGGCTCGAAATATACCAATAATGGCCGTTTCTGGTCAATTATGGAATAATCATTACCAGTGACTGATGAGTGTCAATGCTAACAGATAGCATTGACAGACGTCATTAGTCGTTAGATGACCGTCAGGCCCCGGTCGGCCGGCGGTTTTTGGGCCAATTTGGACGCCGTTTGGACGGGTGATCTGCCACACAGACCCCGTTTTTCAGTGACCCGTTTCCGTTGTCGCTAACCCCGTCCAACACCGTTTTTGTGCCGGACAATGCTCCTTTTGTGCTCGGAAAACCGCTCTAACAGATGACGTCATAGGTGCGCAAACGACCGTCGTTTGTCGTCGAGCGACATTTGCTGTTCTGTGGCCAACAAATAGATCGTCAGCGCGACTTTGTTCGACGGTAGACAGTGCCGGGCGGGGCTGACTCTTTCCGGTTCGGTTGAGTCTAGCGGCGCGGTGTCTGCTCTCAGTACTGTGTTAGCAGCACACTAAGTCTGTTATTGCTGATTGCTCTGTCGCCTCGCTGTGTTTGTGCTGTCAGAGTGGAGTTTGTGCACTGACCGCGTGGTGTTGGCGAGAAGTGGGCGGACGCTCCACCGCTCTCCTCCTACGCGTGGTGATTTGTCCGAGATAGCGCCACTATCGGATAATTACTGCCCGACTCGGATCCATATCTCGCCGACTCGGAGCATTGAGATGGTCGGCGGGGTGCGCCCGCTCGATTTATTCCTATCCGGCGGCGGTGGCCGCAGAGCAGCAGAGCTGTTTTGACGGAGCGTTGGCGTTGGTGCGGCCAAGGTCGCCATATTGGCTCGCCGCTCCGACCCACCCCGCCCCCTCTCGCTCCCACTGCCTCTCCCCGCCCTCCCGACCCCCACCATACTGTCGTGACCACTGCGAATGTCTGTCCGCCGGCCGCTGTCACTGCCACTCGACTGGTATGGTGGTGGTGGCGCCGGCCGCATTCAGCGCTCGGCGATCGAGACTGATAGCGTCCGTACTTAGCGGACTGCGGGGGTTGGTCAGCGCGGCTACAACCGTGTACGAATTCACCTGTGGGACTGACGGCCACAGTGCTTACCACGGGGCACGCCAGGGCCGCACTGGAGGGCGGCCTGCAGCGGGGCAGGGTTCAGCTATAAACAGTCGTAGCTAATGGGCGTCGCTCAAATGACCGGGCGTCTGGCAGTCTCAGTGACGCAGACCCTGGGCACGCTGGCAGGACCGGACTGCTCCGCTCCGCTCTAATTACGACGCTTTGACAGAGCTGGCCACTGCGGCGTGGTACGAGTTGGGAGCGCCGAAACCAGTCTGTTGCAGGGTGGAATAGAGTAGTTGGTGGTAGAACGTCTACGCCTTTCCATTGTGCCCAGTCTTTGCAGATTGTTTATCTGATTTATTTTGACATTACTGGTATTATTCTGTATTCTTCTGACCCCCCAGTCTATCTATCCAATATCTAAAATAAGCCTCCATTTTGACCAACAACCACACCAATGCCGGGCCTGGAAGACATTTCAAACTGGCCGACATATTTGGACAGTTCGGTGAGCGTGGTGTCTGCGACTGTCGCCGCTCATACATAATGCAGACCCGCCTAGGACGCTGAGTTTGTGTGCGTCTGGGTCTCTCTGACCGCCTGTCGTCGGGCAGAGCTGGCCGCGCTAGGGGAGGTCAGACTGGGATGCGGTGCGGACTGCACTGTGAAAGGACTGTCACCGCGCAGTGATAGAAACAAAAAACGTAACGTGGGGCGGAGGCATGCCAGCATGTGCGTTTGGTGAGAGACGGGGTCGATTGCCGGGGAGACCGGATGTAATCAATTCTGGTCACGGATGGGTGGTTGAACAAATCTGACCAATTTCATGCCGATTCAGGCCAGCAGCTTTATCTGCAGAGCCTCATTTAGGATCAGGTATTTTGCTTATCACGTGGGTGGACCAATCACTTTGATCGCTTCCTTCACAGGAGAGTGAATAGTCCGGTCTCCATCCACACATCCCTCACAGCTACTTACTGAGAGCTTAGGACTCGTAACCTCGAGACGGTCCGACCTCGAATTGAGGAGGCTAGGACTGCGAGGACTAAAAAGGCACTGGCCACTGAGCACCAGCTCAGGATTCAACTCACGCACATATTCCACTGGAAACAACTCGGTGCGCCGGGGCTGCCATCTTCAGAGGTCGGGCGACGGCCCCGATCGAGCGCTATCGAACGTTGCCGCCCCCCCCCCCCCCTTCCGCCGCCGCTGTCCGGTGCCGCCCCCTGAATGTGACCTAGGACGGGGCCTGTCACGAGCAAAGGCGAAGACTGAACGTTGAGGATGACCCGAGGCCCGAGCTCAATTCCTGATGGGGGGGGGGGGATTTTGTGAGATCATCTTAAGTGGCTTGTTGGGATATTGAGATATCCTGTCAGAGGTCCTCCATGTTACGGGCTTTATTTCATGAATCTTTCCACGCTAAATGATACACGGATTCAGTGTTGCACTCGTCGTTATAATTCAACCGGCAGGACTTAATGATGTGCCTGCCGGCCCGGGATTTGATCCTGCTGCTAATCATGGTGCCGGGATGGGTCGACTTTAGCGATCGACTTTCGGGAGTTCCAGGAGGGAATCGATGGTCGATGGCGATGGGGTCATACTGTACGGCTTCGGGCGAAGACAAAAATAGGATCTACTGACTTGGACCGAGCGAACTGCTGCATGGTCGGCGAGGGTCTGCTGCAGGTCCGGCCTGGCATCCGGACAGAGTGTTAACGGAGGTTTGTTTTAGGGCTTAACCACTGAAGAGTGTTTTTATTATTGATCCGTTGACTATTGGTCTCAAGCTAAGGGCCCAGGCGACCTGTAGCTTTGATGCGGTGAATACCCTTACCCTCGCCACAGCTCGGGCCGAGTGCACCCCTCCTCCCCCCCCCCCCACTCGAGTTGTGGCGAGGGTGAGGGTATTCATCGCATCCGAACTACAGGTCGCCTGGGCCCCATATCAATATCTTGAGACCAATAGTATTATAGACCAACTACATTATATGAAGGTCTACTGAACGACTGAATCGCCTTTGTCCAATGTTGGACTGAACCTGAGGGTATAATTTGGACTGAATGTGGAGGTCTCATGTCGGACCGGCAATTTCCCAGTGTGGGAGCCAGTCGAGGCTAGTGCTGATTGCCGTTCCGCAGCGCTGCAAACTGCAGCTGCTTCTGCCTGATTGGTCCGGACCGCGCACGGACTCGGACGGTTGAATTTGAACCATGGGCTAACGGGTCTCTGCTGCACGCCCACGCCCGCTGGCATAGAGCGTCCATTATCTCATTAGATGCAGCTGGAGTGCCGGTGGACTCGCTGTACTAATGAACGTCGCCCTGCCGTCAGCAGATCCGGGTTGGGGCGATGGGGTTGGAAGGAACAAACGATGACCTGGGATCCCTTCATGATCATCGCAGATCAGATAACGTCCATGGTGAACGGCAGGTAGTCCTCATGGCCAGATTGAAGTAGATATGTGAATAGTGGGTCTTTCTTAGCCCTTATGGGGTAAGCGTTTTTGACCATGTCTTGAGTGACATGAGTCTTTCCATGGCCTAGATGGATGATGTAGTCAGTCTTGCTTCCATGACGCACTGAATCGCAGGGTGAATTTTGTGTCCCTACATGATCCGGCTCGATCGGATAGTAGACTGTAGTGCCATGCTGTTTTGGATGGTAACTGAGGGTCCATCGCACCACACCCTGATTGATGCTATACCCTTAAACTCTGATACATCATTGACCGTTTATCGGCTGGATGCCATTCCGTTGACGTTTGTGGTGGAGCTGACCGCTGGGCAGAAGAGCTGATGTCAGTCTCCCCACAAACATATCACATCATCGGTGCAGGATCGTCTGATGTGTTGATGGAACCAGTCATCGCCCTGGGGTCAGTGGAAGCCATTAGGGAGATTATCAGTCTGCCTTGCATATGTATGGATATGAATATGCATGTATAGATATGAATATGTATGTATGCCACGTATGACGGGTCAGATACCAGGCCTGCCGAACATCCCCATGTAAGAAAAACGCCGCCAATTTCACCAAGACGTTTCCCCCGGCCAATGATAGTTAGATCTTTGGTAGGTCAGTTTAATTCACTTGTAACTGATGTAAAGTTGTGTGATTTTCTCTGCTTTTTTCAACTTCCTTTGATTTACATGCATAGTCCTGCAGTTGTTGAGGGCCATCCGCAAGATGTTCATTTGGCTTTTTGCTCTGTGAGGCAAGTCCATTTTTTCATGCAACCATCCTTTTAGTTAGATAAATGCCAGCTGTTAGTGCTTATCATCCAGCTTACTAACGTCGCCTCAATCGTACTCAACGAGGTCATCATTGTTTATTCCAACCGCAATGACCCACACTAAATTATTACATGGGGATGTGGGGGTTTATGAGCGGCCGTTATCTGGCGCCACAGTTTTTGATCGATATGTTTTGTTTGGAGACGTTCAAGTTTGCGACGTTTTGGGACCTGAAATCACCTTGGAATCGGGTATATTCAGTCCTCTGCAGTAAGAAGAGCTAGTCTATAAGGACCAGGTCAGCTCAGGTCAAGTCTTGTGACCTCCCTTGGTGCTCAGTATGAGTCCACCTACTTTTTCACTGGGACGTCCCTCTTAGCACGGTCGCTGTCTTGAGAGCTCAGCCCGCCCCCGGTATGTTTTGGTTGGCGGGACCGGTGCCGGGCCCGGCCGGTGTTTGGCAGCTTATTTGTAGCTGTCGACGGCGAGCTGAGAGAGCCCTCAGCTGTGTAGAGGAGAGGTGGGCGGGCGGTGACGGATCCCACGCGGTGTGAAATCTCCCCACTCTCTCCTGCCGACCCGCAGCACCATGTTAGGCAGCGGACCGGTCTCGGGCGTACGTCAGACACGCTCCGTCACCTGGTCCAAGGTCGGCCCTACCTCCGCAGTTACGGCAGGATACATACACTAGCCCGACGGGATGTTTGCTTTCCTACCTGCCGGTACAGCGGCGATGTGGCAGAGCAGCACTAACAGCTGCAGCGCGGGCCGCATGACGGCACTACTCTCACTTCATGTCGGGTGCTGGGCTCTCACTGACGCGGCTATCGGCCTACCGCTGCCGACGGCCCGGAGGCCGCGGTTGACTGCTAACTCCGGCCCAGATACGACCACCGACCGGTCTGCCGCCTGGCGGGCGACAGAGAAACCAGCCTTTGGAGGCGATAAACGAGCGAGCGCGGTGTCAGCCCTGCACATGCGCCAGTGCGAGGGGGTGCTTCTAAGTGACTTGTGCACGGCACCCCACTTACCGGTCTCTTGCGGTATGCCAATTTTGAGCGCAATTGGCCCAGCCGTTCTTAAGCTGTGTGAGCGGCACCCTGCACGTGCGCACGTGCAAACTAAGTCCAAACTGACTTTTGCACAGCACCCTACTAACCGATCCCCAACCGTGTACCAAATTTGAGCGCAATTGACCTAACCGTTCTCGAGATCTGAAAGCGCCCCCTGCACGTGCGTACGTGCAATAGCACCCTAATCGTAGCACATAGGAATGCATTGCCTGGTAGATGCCTACCCACATGCCAACTTTCGGCGAATTCGCCCAAGTAGGTAATTACCAAGCTATTGAAATGGTAAATTTGACACATTTTCCTTTTGCATTTTGCACGTGCAGCGGGGTCACTCTCATGAAGAGTATCCTATATTTGGTAGAAGGGATGCAGCTGTCCTACAAAAATTGCCGAAAGTCAATCGCACCAGCTCGGCGGTTGCAGAGATATAGGCCTTTCAAAAGCGCTTTTATATAGCTATATTGTAATTGGGCTGCTGCTGCACGTGCGCACGTGCAGTGGTCGATTCCAGATCTCGAGAACGGCTAAACTGATTGCGCTCAAATTTGGTGCACGGCTAGGGACCGGCTAGTAGGGTGCCGTGCAAAACTCAGTTGGGGCCCATTTTGTCCGTGTGCACGAGTAGGGTACTGCTTCCAGATCTCGAGAATGACTGGGCCGATTGCGCCCAAATTTGGCACACCGCTAGAGACGCTAGAGTTAAGGTGCCGTGCACAAGTCAGGTGGAAGTACCCCCTCGTAATTCCCTCTCCAAAGTTGCTAGCATCTTATTCAGTGAGCTGGAATAGTAACTAGGCATACCTACATAATTTTCGTCAGTTTGTTAATGATTTCATTAAAGTCTTTTTTGGTACGTTGATAGAAATGTTCCTAGGCGGATGATTGGCTTCTATGAAATAATTACATGCTTCACCTCTTCAGTCGGGCATGTAATGAACATGCCTATTTAGACAAAAGTGCGGGTGATGGGATCTGGAATAGAGATGCCACTTTTGAGCCCGCGAACCCGCTTTCTGCGGGTTTTCAAAACCCGCAGGGTTTTTGGCGGGTTCGAGAAGCAAAACTTGTCGTGTGGCGGGTATTTGGCGGTCAGACTTAAGAACCTTTAATTTTTTTATTATTTTTTTTTTTTTTTTAGATGCAAAACAATGCCAAGTGCATTTGCTCAGGTTAACAATACAATATTGATCGAAACAACTTTTAAAACAGAACCAAATATAAAAATATATCATGGCAGCACATTTTAAATGCAAAACTGAAAACAACCAGCAATAGCATCCACAGTCTAGCAATGACCAAACCAGGGTACAAGCAACAAACTACAAAGCATAAATAAATGCTGATGAAAGCATTCCATAAAACATAAAAGAACATGAAAGCAAACTTATAGGAAGCTGAACTGAAGTCCATGTGCAGTGTGCACTAGATATACATACATTATGGAAGAACCCAGACTTAAATGAGATGTTGAAAATCAGAGCAAATACCACATGTTACTTTATTTGCGTCTGGTCGGCATAAAAAAGACCTATCAGCTAAACAAAATTTGATGCAAATTTATTGATTACCTATCCTACTCTATGTTCTGTCCCACCCTATATAACGAAAATAGCACACCAATTACCCTTACTGTTACAAAAAATCAAAATATTGACTGGCATGCGGCCCAAACACAGCGCAATACAATACTGGCGCACTTCCGACATTATGACAAGGATTGGTATTTGACTGCGTCAATTTTGGTCTCTGAGGCGAAGGAAAGCTGTCATTGATGACGCAATAATAATTTTACAATCAATTTTTCTGTCTTGGTTTTTGAATGCCTCAAAACAGCAGTTATACATGTTACAAAACCACGTAGCTGGTCGCATTTATTTCTTTTGTCTTTTTACGTCCTTATTATTTGTATGCCGAGAGAGGACCAGGCGGAGAGCATTACCAAGACCATCTATAAAATTATTACATTTAATTTAGTATTTGCTGTCTCTTTATTTCTTAACCGGTGATTAATCTCTGAATTGTAAAACTTTAGCTGTTGTGTAAAATAATTTTATCAGAATGGCACATGAATATGCATTGTACAACGGTGTTTTCGCAACAAGTTCGCACTAACTACGGCTGCAATAATTTAGTCGCTGTAACATTCCTTGCAATCAGCTGTTGGTGACGCTTCTGACGCATGTTTTCAGAAATGCGTAGTTCATTGGTGGTTAGTTGGTTTTTGCTCGGATTTTGCATGATTTGTTTTATGTGTAGATCGACCGGATGCTCATTATTCACCGTGTCACTATTTATTTTTAACTGGAAATCGCATATCTTTTTATATCAACATTCATTTTGATAGCAATATCATTCCAGAAGCCTAACATTGAGAGGGAGCCAGAGTGAAATTTTGATCCTCAGCCAATGCTGAAGGGTAAGGTGAGAGAAAAATTTTACTGAACTCTTTTCAGAAAGGGATTTCAAATGTATTGATGCATTATTCATTTTCCACTACAGTGTGCACTTCCTGAGGACTTAGCATAGCAATTTCAAGTCCTTACTATTTGATTGGCTGTCTTTTTCTGCACAGCAATGAAGCAAGTAAGGTTTATATAGCTCTAGCATTGACCCAGCTGTATTTTTTTCTTGCAAAAGCAGGTTTTTGAAATTGCGGGTTTTTGGTGGGTTCGGCTCAGCCAAAATCAGCTTGCGGGTAGTTGTGGTTGGGCAAGGGGTAGCTGCGGGGCGGGGCGGGTAATGAAATTGCAAATTTGTGGCATCTCTAATCTGGAACCAACACACCACTGGCTTTTGGGTCACAGAGACCGGTCAGCAGCTGTCTCACCGCTCCGGACACTGACCTCACACGCTCTCCAGCTGCGCTCCTCCGTTGGACGGAAGTGCGCCACTTCCGGTCCCTTTCCGAGGCATCAGTGCGCTGTCTCCAGCCGGCCACCGAGCCGCGGCGGTTTGGATCTTCCGCCACAGCCGAGTCGGCCCTCCGATGTAAGACGCGTGCCCTGGTTCGGGCCGGCGACTGTCTCTAAGCAGGGCAGTGCAGACGGTGGAGCATCCGGTCCGCACCAGGTCATGGTGTGGACGAGAGATACGTCCGCTGCCGGCTGGCGACAGTGGATGGAGGCTCTCCACTCCCCTTCTCCATCCGCGCTCGGGCCTGTAATGCACGTATGCAGGCCAGCGATTCCGGCCATTGTGGACAGCCTGCGGCTGGTATTCGACGGAACAGACAATGGACTATCCACTCTAAACTCAGGACAAGTTTCCTGTACGATATCTTATTATTGTCAGTTCGTAGTCGTGTATTCAATTGCTCACCTAGGATTTTAATGATAAGAATATGGGGTACGTCCCTAAGATATGATGGAACATATGTGTACACTTCCCAACCAAGCACGTCACTTGTCAAAAGACATTTCCGACCGAAAGCACTCCTAAAATTGACAGCAGACAAGGACGACAGGGAGGTGACGGCTTGGTGGCGAAAGTCCGCTGACCTCACTCGGCGGGGGCGTCAGCGTCCTCAGCAGGCTCTGCTGGCGCCTCCTCCGCTCCGTCGACTTCTGCTGGTAGTGCCTCCGCCTCGCCACCCTCCGTGGCGTCTGCTGGGGCTTCCTCCGCTGCAGGAGCCGCCTCTTCCTCGGCTGGAGCCTCCTCTGCCGCCCCTTCTTCGGCGGGAGCCTCTTCCGCAGGGGCTTCTTCAGCGGGAGCTTCTTCGGCAGGCGCTTCTTCAGCGGGAGCCTCTTCGGTCGCTCCCTCTTCAGCTGCTCCCTCTTCCACAGGAGCCTCTTCTGCCGCTGCTCCTTCTTCGGTGGCCTCCTCCTCCCCTGTCTCCTCGGTGGCCGCCTCGGTGTCTCCTCCCTCTTCTGTAGCCTCCCCTCCGTCCTCCGCTTGCGTTTCTTCACCGCCGTCCTCGGTCTCGACCTCCTCGCCGGTGGCCGCGGTATCTCCCGTCTCCCCGCCCTCGGTCGTCTCTCCGACGTCTGTTTCCTCCTCGCCCTCTGTGGTCTCCCCGTCGTCCTCTCCATCGGTAGTCTCCCCGACGGTATCCTCCTCCCCGTCCTCAAGCGCCGTCGTCTCGCCACCGGTCGTCTCCTGCTCGGTCTCTGCGGCGGCCTCACCTTCCTCATCGCCGCTCGCCGCCGCCGCGGCTCCCGTCTCCTCTCCGGAGGAGCGCGGGCTGCTGTCCTCGCCGGAGGACTCGTCCTCGTCCTCGCCTTCCTCTCCGTCCGGCGCGGCGGCCAGCTGCTCCTGGGAGGGCTCCTCTGGCGGCAGCGTGTCCTCGTCCGTCCAGTCCACGTAGCTGCCAGTGTCGTCGAAACTGTCGCTGATGTCGATCACCGAGCCGCTCTCGTCGGCTCCCTCGATGAGCACGATGTTGGGCCGCGGCATGCGCTCCTGCGCTTCCTCCTCCGACTCGTCGGGCTCGTCGAACTTGACGTTCCCTCCGACGGAGCGGCGCGGCTGGATGACACCCACGGTAGTATAGAGCGCCTTGGCCTTGGCGCGGTCGGCATCGCGCTGCTTCATCAGCTCGACGGCACGCTGGCAGGCGGCTTCCAGAGCCTTCACCTCCTGCTTGGTGCCGTGCGCGGTCGCTAGTTCGATGGCCTGGTCAAAGTGTTTGAGCGCCGCGTCCATGACCTCCAGCTGGGTCTCGGCCTCGGCGAGCAGCCACAGGCCGCGCATGATCCACGCCTGCTGCTCGCAGCGGCGCGCCTCTTTGACACACTTGGTGCCGTAGAAGCGCGCCGTCTCGTGGCGGCCCAGCTCGCGGTAGCACGTGCCGATCTCGTGGAAGAGCCAGGTGCGCTTCTCAGGGCTGCGAGAGAGAGGGATGCGCTGCTCCCAGGCGTCGATGGCCGCCTGGTAGCGCCGGAATGTGGCGTGAGTGCGGCCGAGGTTGTCGAGCGCGCGCGCTCGCGAGTGCAGCAGGCGCGGGTTGTCCTTACTCAGCTCGAGGTCCTTGTTGTGCCACTTGAGCGCCTCTCGGTAGTGGCCCAGCTTGAGGTGGGCGTCTCCGAGCGCGCTGTACACCACGCCGAGGTAGGCCTGCCGGCGCGGCAGCCACGTCAGGCTGTACGACTTGATGGTCTGCTCGGCCTCGGCGCACATCTGCAGGGCGCGCTCGTACTCGGCGCGCTGCAGGGTGGCGTCAATGTCCACCAGCAGGCGCGTCACCGTCTCGTGGTTGGCCTGCACGCGGCTCTTCTTCTCGTCGATGCGCCGGCGCAGCTGCTCATCCTCCTCGTCGACCGTGGTCTTGCCCTCGGCCATCTTGCGCTGTATCTTGCGGGCATACAGCGGCTTCTGCTGGCCCCAGAACTCCTGGCGAGTCTGCATGAACTCGAGCACCTCGCTGGCCTCCTTGACGATCTCGTCCTTACACGGCCCCGTCAGCTCCGGGTGGTGGATCAGCTTCTGCAGGAACGCCTTGTCCTTGGACAGCTCCTCCAGCAGCGTCTTGCAGCCGTAGTTCTTTTTGGCGTCGTCCTGCTCGGTGGGTGATTGCTTACGCTTTTGGCCGCGCCACGTGCTGGCCTGGATCTCTTTCTCTTTCTTGGCCTGTATTTGTCGGAGTATCTTACCCATGCGGCAGAATCGCAGCCCAGACTTATCTCCGATAGCGTTTTCGATAGCTTCGGCAGACTTTTGTATTCCCAGATTAAATTCTTCGATATCTGATCTCAGCTTTTTACCTCTGTGAAAGCAAACCAGAGCGTACTCGAACTCTCCTTGAGCGTATAGCGCTTCCGCTTTTTGCACAATACCTGTGCTCGACGTGGGATTATTTGCCAACGCATCTTCCGAATCTTTCAGCGCTTTGTCATGTTGACCAAGGAGAAGATAGCACTTGCTTCTCATCGTCAAACATGTTTCGTGATTTGGTGTAAGGGCAAGGGCCCTGGAAAAGCTTTCAATTGCCTCCTTGAATCTTCGCTTCTTCACTAAAAATTTACCTGCTGTAAGGTTAAATGAAAATACAAGCTCTTTATCTTTGAGATCTTCTTCAGACATTTCGAACTCCTATATTTTTGTATCACTCCTTGTTTTGTTGGCCCGTCATGCCATCGTCTTATGGGGAAATATGTTGTATGCTGTCGAATAGTTTATACACTCATTTACTGGACTTTGTGTGAAAGTTATCACTTGTGTCATTTAAGTAGAAACCTCTGGGATATGGTAAATATGTCTGAAAAAACTCCTCTCTTGAACGCTCTGTAATTTTTTTGATAATTTTTTTAATGCGATTCGAGTTTTAGATCCGTGTCGCCCGTGCCGTATCTCAAACGGCTCTTCTGTACTCTGGTAGATCACCGCGCCTGGATGCGATCTCCTATTTCCAATACCTCGGCTCAACTGAAGGCGAACGGATGGATGGCATGAGCGGAGCGGACATTGGCTTTTCTGTGCCTGGTAATGATTGAACGGTGGTCCGTTGTCAATGATTCTGACTAGTTAATTGCCATTTTTTGGTAGAGTGAGTTGTGTGCGATACATTTTCAACATTTTTTTTTGCGTATTGTATAATGTCGTCTTGTGACCCCTGTGTGTCTGTTGTTTGGTGCTAGGAACATTTACTTTCGGGATTCAGCGTTTCCACTGAATCGAATGATTTTTTTCGGACTTTTTTTCAGATGCCACTTTTGAACTGAGTAGGATTACTACTTGGAATGCTGCTAGCAAACTGCGGAAGATTCATTGTGAGCAGATTGTTTCTTGTCAGGCGATAAACTGTGCCACTTTGCGAGAACACCGCTGCAAAAATAACTATGTCACTTCACGCACGGCTATTTGAGACAATACAGATCCCCTGGTCCCGTCTATCTGCTACCCGACCCAACCTCACCTGTCTCCCTCTCCCTCTATCTGTTCTCAGGTGGTGAAGGTGTTCCGACGTGATGACGCGCACGCTGAGCGGCTCTCCGACTACCTGGACGAGGATGGCATCCCTCACGTGGGCATCCTGCTTGAAAAGGACTCACCCATGAGTTGGTGAGTGGTGGGGGCAGTCATGGGCAGTCTTCTATTAACTTAAAGTCACCGTGCTATTAACCGTACCGTTTTCATCGCTGTTGTATACGTGTATATATCTCCTTATTGGTGAGCTGGCTTCATGGAGGAATGATGATATGCCTTTCACGTGTTATGTTGAACATTCTGTTTCTGATTGTTTTATCTTGTTTCCTACTTCAATAAGCCTCCCAATGCATCCACGTATCAAGGCCGGTAAATGCACCGTCTTTGAAATTATTGTGCTATTGCTCAGATAATCATCCGCTTATAATTAATCAGGACATATTTTCATTGTGTTTGAACAGTCGTCATGCGTGTTGCTCGTACAGACATAAAATTGGTCATCTTTTGTTTTATTTTATTTGTGGCGTGTAATGTTCGTCTCAGTGTTGGCGGAGACCCGATTTTCTTCGATTTCGATGAAGAGGACGAGAACTTTACCCTCAATCGTCTGGTACGGAACCCCAACAAAACAGCCGAGGCCAAGAAAATGGCCAGGAAGATGCTAAACAACAACTCGATGGCGCTGAAGCACCTGTCCAAGTTTCGTTCCACCGCCGCGACGACCACGCTGTCCCCTCTGGAGCGTCCTGTTGACGAGGATGACGATCCTCCGGAGCACCGGACGACGCCCTCCTCCTCCACGGAGCTGCCGCCGCCGTCCAAACCCGTACACAAGACGGTCACCACGTCCCTCTTCGAGCGGACGCGGACGATCGTCATGTCCGCCGGCCTGGCGCGCAGTCTGACGCAGCTGGCACCGGCCAGTCAGCAGTTCTTCAAGAGAGTCTGTCTGATGAAGCGCGCCTGTACCGAGGAGATGGTGATCGGGGACCGGCTCACCTGGATCCTCCCGGATGTGTCTGAGCGCGCGCGCACCCGTCTCTGGCACCAGCTGGTGTGCTCGCTGCAGCCGGGCGCCGCGTGCCCGCAGGACGGCGGCTGGGGCTCCTGGGGACACTGGTCAGAGTGCGGCGCCACCTGCGGAGCAGTCGGAGAGCGCGTGCGCCGCCGGCTCTGCGACCGACCGGAGCCGGCGCACGGCGGCCTCCGCTGCCGCGGCCGCGCCTCCGAGGTGCAGTACTGTGTCTCCCGCGGCTGCGGGCTGGATAAGCTGGCTGGGTTTATGACGGAACACAACCCGTCTCAACAGCTAGCGCTACAACTACTTCAGAAACAGGTGCATGCTCATCCAGAGTTGGATACGCTCTGTATCCGTCAGCACTGCAGCCTGGAACACCTGCGGGATGTGGTCGGTAACGGGAGCGTCCACGCGCTCTGGGCGTCACTACACTGTCTCAAGCAGGCCGTGGCGTGCCCGATAGTGGGCGGCTGGACCGAGTGGTCGCAGTACAGCGAGTGTTCGGCTGCGCCCTGCGGAGACGGCCAGCAGCTGCGGTTCCGAACCTGCACCGACCCGGCGCCGAATCTGTCCGAGGGCCGCTGTCACGGCAAGTCGTTCTCGGCCCGCGACTGCAGCGTGCCGTGCGAGTCGTCCGTGGGCGGCCGCGCCGAGTGGGCCCCGTTCGGGCCGTGGAGCGAGTGCAGCGCCTCGTGCGGCGTGGGCACGCAGCAGCGCCACCGCCGCTGCCGGCTGGTGTCGCTGAGGAGCGAGGACTCGGACCGAGTGCCGGAGACCGATGAGGTGACCCTGCGCCGGCGGCGGCGGGTGCACCGTACCCGTCACCGCCGGGCGACCTATACAGGGCCGAAACGGATCGACCTGCGCCTGCCGCCGGATGGAATGAAGAAACGGCCGGCCACCCGGCGGCCACAGACGACCACCGCGGCCGGCGGCGGCCCGCGCAGCAGGGGAGGCAGCGGAGGCAGCGGAGGCAGTGGCGGGGGCACACTAGGGAAGTGGATGAAGGGCCGTCCAACCAGTGGGCAGAGTGACAACAGTGCTGGAGTCAGTTCGAGCGGCGGGAAATCCTCCAGCAGTGGCAGTAAGCCTGCTAGCAGTGTCAGAAAATTTGCCAGCAGTGGTAGTAAGTCTTCCAGTAGTGGCAGTAAGTCTGGAAGCAGTGGTAGCAAGTCTGACAGCAGCAGTAGCAAGTCTGACACCTCCGATGAAGAAATCGACCAGTCTGATGACTCTGGCGGCGGCGGCGGCGATGTTGATGTTGTTGTACCCAGTCCCGGCGGCGGCAGCGGCGTGGACCCGGCTCTGTGCGGCGGCTCGAGCCGCGAGGTGCGTGTCTGTGAGCCGCAGTGCGCCCTGGACGGTCAGTGGTCCGAGTGGGGCGCCTGGAGCGCCTGCTCCTCCGCCTGCGGGCCCGGCGTCAGCACGCGGGACCGGCTGTGCGGCGACCCTCCGCCGGCCGGCGGCGGACGCGACTGCGAGGGGGTCGGCTCCGAGGTGCACTACTGCTTCCAGCGGCCGTGCACGGTCGAGACGCGTCTCCTGGCGGCCTTCAACGGCAGCGGCTACCTGATCTACCGGCCGCTGTACATCCCAGCTGCGCTGCTGCTGGTGTACGTCCGCTTCCGGCCCGAGTCGGGCGACAGCGTGCTGCTGCACCGGTTCCAGAACAAGTGTCCCGAGCCGCACCACTGCGACTGGGCGCGACTCTCGCTCGTCAGTGGGTTCCTGGTACTCGAGAGCACGATGCGTCAGTGCCGGGTGAAGCTCGAAGGCCGGCCGGCCGTGCAGATTGGTCACTGGCACGAGGTGGCCGTCGCTATAGTCGGCGACCGCGCCTTTATGAGGCTGGATAACGCCGAGGAGCACCGCAAGGCGTACCTGAGCTGCGTGCCGGACGGACCCAACTACGATATGGACATGTACGTGGGCTCGGACCGCAACCGGCGCTCGGCGTTCCACGGCACGGTGTCGGCGCTGGCCGTCAACTACATGGAGTACAGTCTGCGCATGGAGGCTGACTGGACGGCCGGCGGCGTGCCGGCCATCGCCGAGGGCGTCACCACCAGCGTGGCCACGGCGGATGACGTGTATGTGCGCCTGGAGGCGGCTGACTTTTTCACGGCGCAGTGTCCGACCAACAGTAGCGGAGACAGAGCCGGCAGTCACGGCCGCCGGCTGGACTTTGTCGCCACGTTCATGATCCGCCAGCACGGTGTGCTCATGTTCACCCGCGGCATCGAGGAGGCGTCGTTTGTGTTCGTCAAAACGGGTGGTGTGTTCCAGGTGTGCGCCCAACTGGCGGCGGCGCGGGAGTGTCTGGCGTCCAGTCAGAGCGCTGAGCTGGATACGTGGTACCGACTGCGGGTGCTCATTGAACCCAAAGTGATGACCATGGTGGTGAATTTCGTCCACCGGACTCGTCTAATGCGCGGACTCGATTTCAGCGTCTGCCGTAAAATCGTATACGTGGGCGGCGGTCCCCCGGACACACTGAAAAAGATCGGCGAGAGTAACGGTTTCCAGGGTCTGGTGGAGTCGTTCCTGCTGAACGGCCGGCGTGACACGTCCCGCCAGATGTCCGTCAAAGAGTGGGGCGGCATGGTGAGCTCGGCCGTGGCCACGCTGGCTGACCACTACACCGAGGCCGTCTACCAGCAGGGCCACGCGCCGGCGCTCTCCTGCGACTACTCGGACGTGACGACCCCGGACAGCGGCGGCGGAGGCGGTGGGGGAGGGAAGAGCAAAGGAAAGGGCGCCGGGAAGAACGCCAGCTCTGCGCGTGTCCGCTGGCTGCGGCTGGACGAACTGATTGACGCGGACAGCGCGGCGGTGGAGCGCTCGCCGCCGTTCTCTGTGCTGCGGCTCGATCCTCACAGTAAGGACGTGCAGGGCTTCTACGGGTGTCTGGTGTCGACCCCGGCTCGCACCTGGCTCATACACGCGTTCGGTGTGTCGTTCGTTCGCACCACAGTGGTGGTGGCAGAGTCGCTCGCGGAGGAGTGGGTGGCGGTCATGAGCGCGCTCATTGGCTGTGTGCTGCTTCTGATGGCCGCGGGACTCCTGTATGCCAGTAAGAGTGGGCGATTTGGCCTGTTTCCCGGCCTACTGAGGATGATTTACGGTGAGCGGCTGTCCGAGAAGGACCAGCTCGACTATCTGCAGCTGCAGACGGGAGAGTTTGTGCGCGTGACGCCCTCCCGGCGCCGCCTGCTGCGCCCCTCCAAACAGTCCCTGCTGCTGTCACGGTCCCGTCACTCGCTGGCCACACCGTCACGGACCATCAGCATCACTCCGTCACGCGAAACCGAGTTCTTCCTGGAGCCGAGCAAACAGGTGCGCTTTGCCAGTCAGCTGAGCGTCA